TCCCTGGGGGAGTGCTCGCACCGCGGGGGGCGGGGGGAGGGTGGGCAGCTGAATCCCAGAGGTTACTTATTAGCTCAAAAATAACAGGTGTGTCCCCGGCCCTTTCAAGCCCGGGTTTCCTCATCTGAGCACTGAGACTGTGAGCCGCCCACCGCTGGCAGGAGCTCAGCCCGGAGTCAGGCCTCCTCCCTCTCCTGGCACCCCCACACCTGGCGCCCCACACCGGGGCTCCGGGAGCGACACGGCTATGGGGGTGGCCAGTGGGGACTGGCAGGCGTGCGGCCACCCCACGCACACAGGAGGGACTGGCAAAGGGGCCCGAGGGGCCTGGAGCTCCAGCCCCACCCTGCACACTCAGCCCTGCACGGCTCCTGGGCTCAGCTTTTGAGCAGCCTCCAGCAGCCGCTCGCAGCGCGGGGGGGACGCGCTTCCAGGGGTTGCACTTGACGGCCACCAGGACTCTGGCCCTGCGCTGGTGTCTGCTCGCCACTGACCCTGACCGCGACCTGGGGCCAGTCCCTTCCTTCCCTGGGACTCGCTCCGTCAGCTGGACAGTGGGGTGGTGGCAGGGGGTCCCCTCAGCGCTAGTGTTCTGAGACTCTGAGATTAAAACACAGGCTCCTGCAGTTCCGAATGCAGGTCGCTAGCGTTTCCCTCTGACGTGTCCGAGGAGTGAGGCTGAGTGGGGGACGGCACAGTGACTGCTGCGTAATGGCTGACGCATCATTGGTTTATGCATTTGCTTAGGCCACTGGCCATTTGTTTGTCTGATTATCTAGGGTTCTGGGCCAACGTGGCAGATCAGAGGGGCCTACAGCCGCTTCCTCCCTCTCTGCACTGAGAGCCAGCTTCCCTTTCCCCGTCCCGGATTCCGGCCTGGCCTCCCACTGCTTTGACCAACCAGCCTCTGCCTCTTCCTGCTGGAAGCCGCTGCCATATCGTGAGGGAGCCCAAGGGGCCAGGCGGAGAGCCCGGGTGGGGGAGGATCTGTCTTCCTGGGCGTCCTGCCAACGGTCACACCCGCGTGCAACGCCATGGTCAGCTGTCTGGGGAGTGTGTCCCTCAGCCCTGGTCAAGCTGTCCCAGGGGAGGCCATTTGGAGCAGAGATGTGCTGTCCAAGGGGCCCTGTGTGCGGTGTGGTTCGAGCGCCGCTGCCTGAAGCGCTGTGTGGGGACAGCGTGCCGGGCAGAGCAGCGCCGGGTGTGGAGACAGTTCCCGGGAGTGCAGCCCAAGCGCGGGCGCTGCTCGCCAGCAGACCCAGAGCAGTGGTGGCTACAGAATATGGCTTTTTCGGGCGGGACCTTAGGCAGCAGGGAGGAGGAGCAGCGCGAGAGGAGCAAGGCCAGTGAGATGTGTCCCGAGCGGCCCACGCTGCGGCCTTTGGTGCTAGATCCCGCCCCGACCTTGTGTGAAGCCCCGCGGGCGGCATCTCACAATTGTCTGAGGGACGGAAGAGAGAGAGGCGCTGGGCCCCGGGCGCCACCTCCCACTGCTGGGGTGACCCGTGGCATGTGACCCCTAACTCTTCTGGAAAGTGTGTGTTTGACTGCCCGCCTGAGGGTGCCCCATGGTGGACGTGAGAAACGTCCCAGGTAGCAGGAGGACGTGCCTGGTCTGGGCCGAAGGTGAGATGCTGTCAAACGAAGTGGACAAAATCTGCCTGGAATCAGGTGAGGACTCGGGAACGGAGGTGGCCACAGGAAGTGGCCAGGATGACCTGAGAACCTGGCCGTGTCGTGCCCCTCGGCACTTGGGCAGCGGCCACTCCACGAGCTGTCAGACCACCTTATTCTGGGGTGTGAATCTCAACCACCTGCAATCTTTGGTTCAGAGCTTGAAAGCGAGTCCGTTCCAGGACCCGGGGGCACCAGCTGTGGTGTCCTTGAGATGGTGGCTCTGGGGGAGGCTCGAACAGCGCTGCCCAACTTTTGCCAGCAGCTCCATCCTTTCACTAGAAAAGTCCCAGAGGCTTTGTTCATCTGCCTGGCCTACATCATTCACACAAACAACAGAAGTGTAGGGAATCTTCCAGAAGAAAATACATGCGATGAATCTCGACAATTTTGAGCTCCACCGCGTGCTCCGTTGCAGTGTTCTAGATTCTGCTGGAAGCCGGAAACCCACAGAAAAGACAACCTCCCAGATGACGGGGCTGGTCTGGGATTCAGAAAACGATGTCCCCGTTCTCTGGCCCTAGTGACTTGGAGCCTCCCGGTGCCCTGCTCACGAGTCCTCCCCTGACTCCAGGCAGATTTTGTTCACTTCACTGACCGCGTCCCTCTAGGGATGTTGCCAAGTCCCCAGAATCTGGGGGCAGAAAGGGGCCTCTGAGGGACGCCGCGCTTCCTTGCTCATTTCAAAAACGTGGGCACGGCCTCTCTCTTCCCAATCCTTTGAGTGGGTGTAAAGGCACTACCCATGCAGGAAAGCCCCGTGCTCCGGGAGGACATCCTGCAAGGACGCCGTGAGCAGCTCTAAGAGAAGGCCGGCGCTGGCAGCGCGTCTCTGGTGGATTCCCTACGGAGCGAGGAGGACTCGATGACTCTGTTGCTGGGGTGGAGGGAGCATCGGGGATTGGGCAGTTCTGCTTCAGGATGCTTGACCTTGACCATGTGCGAGGTTGCAGAGGAGAGCTTGGTCCCCTGCACCCTGAATCACTTCAAAGGAGGAGGCCATGGGCAGGCCACGGTGTGGGGTCAAGGCCGTGCCCTCGGAGGGGTGGCTGAGACAGGAACGCTGCTCCAGAGGGGAGGGGTTCTGGCTGCTCCTGCATGACTTCACACTCCCGATTACTCAGCTGACCTTGAGCAATCATTGCACCTGTCTGAGCCTCAGTTTCCTCATATGTGATGGGGGAGGCAGGCCCCGCCCTGCCTGTTTCATTGACCTCAGCCAGACCTTAGGTGTGTGCTCTGACTCAAGCCAGGGCGGGGCGGGGCTGCTGGGGGCAGGAGCGTGGGGCAGGGGCTGGCGTCGGAGCTCACGCCGGCAGCCTCTCCCGCCTCTCCTCTGCTTCTCTCGGTGTGTGTTTCTTCTCCCGGGCAGGGTCACAGCTGCGGGCTGCCCCCAACTCCTGGAACCCCACAGACGGCAACCAAGAGGGCAGAACCCTGCCAGCTCTAGGTGGAAAAATCCCGATCAACCACCAGAGCCGGTGTGTGGGTGGGGAAGGTGGGGACTCTGATTGGTCCCCTGGGGTCATGTGCCCACACTTGGCCCTGTGAAGGGACCAGGGCAGTGGGGCGCTGTGATTGGCTCACTTGGGGAACAGCTCGCCCCGGGAGGCCCCAGGTGGCAGCACTCCGAGAACCACCTGTCTGGGGAGCAGTGGAGACTCGTCGGCTCGATGCCCTCTGAACCGGGAGGTGGAGGGACCTGTAAGGGGTCGTCAGTGTTTCTTTATTGAAAAAGCTCTAAATCTGTTTTTCTCCTGCTTCACTGCGCTGTGGGGGACCTAGAGGGGTCGCCACGACGGACATCACAGCCGGCACTGGGCGCCTTTGACCCCCTCTGCCAAGTCCCCCAGGCCCCTCGCCCACCCTGCCTCTGGTGGCCGCCGGCCTGCGCTCTTCCTGGGCCGTCGGTGCGCGGGTGGCTGGACCCCGTCCTCCGCGGACTTCGTCCCTAAGGCCTCGGAGGCCGCCGTGGGGCTGCACGTGCCGGGGTTTCCCCGCGCTCGCGGCTCGGTGTAGTCCATCACCTGGACACCAGCTCCTTTGGCCTTCACGGCACACCTTGCCGTCGTGAATGAGGCTGCCGTGGAGGGGGCGGAGAGCTTCAGGGTAGAGATTGCGGTGCCTTTAGGTAGACGTGGACAGCTGGTCCTACCCTCTGTTGGTTTCTGCGGAGCTGCCTGCGGGTGCCACAGGGGCTGGTCATGCGCCTCAGCTGTGGGCCCTGGGCCAAGCCCCGGCTCCACTCTGCGTGGCTTGGCTGAGGATGATGGGAACTCGGCTTCTTACTCGTTGAGAAAGTCCCGACGCCTTATGGATCAAGGTCCTCCCATCTGAAGCAGAGAGCACGGGAGGAGCTCCCCTGAGTTGCCCCGGCCCTGGCCCCTTGGCGCTAGGTTCAGCCTCTCTTTGCTGAGCCGGGTCTTGGCCATGCCCACGGGTCTGTGGGCATGAAGTTCTGTGCCCTGTGAGGGTCTCGAGAGACAGGGCGGGTCCTTGTGGCCAGCCCTGAGAGGCTGGACAACCACAGTACAAAGGGGTGAGTGCTTAGGAGCTGGTGGGTGAAGGAGAGAGCAGCAGGGACGCAGGAGGCCTCAAGGGGCCTGATCTGGGGTCTCGGGAACACACTGGGAGCTCAGCAAACCTCGCAGGTATAATGCACTCTCCCTGCTGGCAGCGGTGGGGGTAAGGACCTGGGGGGCACGGGGAGAGCCTCTGGGTAGCGCCCCCTCCCCTCCAAGGCCTTCCCAGCCAGAGGTCTGCCTGTTGGGGTCAGCCCCACGCCGCGGAAGCCAGCGAGCGCGAGATTCGTGCGGAGGTTTGCAGGAGGCGAGCCTCAAGGCCTGAGTTCTGGTCCTGCTGGTGACTGGGAGGTGCTCCGTCTGCTGAGCCTTGAGCCTTAGAAAGTGGGAGCAACTGCTTTTGCCCTTGAGAGTGTTAGGGAAGGTGGGGCTCTCTCCGACTAAGAGAGGCACAGACACCAGCCAGTAAGCCCCCCAAGCCCAGGTGAGAGCTGGGGCCCAGGCCTGGAGGGACAGCAGAGCTGGGCCTGTGGCCTCCAGCACAGCCTCCCGCTCCATGCGGTGCAGGTGCCCCGAGGGACGCGTCCTCCGAGCAGCGACCAGCCCTCCAGCAAGGAGACCGGCGTGAGCACACGCCCTCTCCGATGCGGCCTCCCGGCCCCCGGGAAGGAGGCCAGTCCCGTCCCTGCTCTGGGTTCTGGGCACGGGGGAGCGGTCGGCCTGCTCGCCACGCGAGGGAAGCCCTGGGGTTGCGCTTGCAGGCCGTGGAAGATGGTCCAGAAAGATGGGGCTGGAGGACGCGTGTCATTCTGGTTTTTAATTGCTAGAAACCTCTGCGCTGCCGGTGCCGGGGCTCAGCCCGACCCATCTTCAGGCCGCGGCGCCGGGACCTGCTACTTCCTGGCTTTGCCTTTCTTTCCCCTGCTCGCTTTGGACAGCTTGAGAGGCTCGTCTTGGCCAGGCTGGCTGGTGATGCAGAGAGGGAAGGGGGTCGGGGCGCCGAGGGTTATTGTCTTCTTCTGGAGCTTCAGGTCCAGGATGTCGAAGGTGGCCTGGATCTCGTGCTGCAGCAGCGCCCTCAGGCATTCCACCTGGACGCGAATGGCCTCGCTGACCAGGCTTTCTACCTCCTGCGGGAGACGGGACCGGCTGGTGACGGGGCTCTGGGGAGGTGAGGTCCGCCTGCGCCCGGTGCCCCCCCACCCCACCCCCCAGGTCTGGTTCTCTGCTCGGCCTCCTCCACCTGGCCAAGACCTCCATCTCCCCCTGGCCCCCTCCCCACCCCTCCGAGCCGCAATGTCTCAGGGTGGCGGGAAGGGTCACGGGCTCAAGGGCCCCCGGGACTCGGCATGTGAAGCCCAGGCAGGTGCCGGCTGTGCTGCCCCCTCCAGCCCCTCCCATGTGGGCAGACTGTGGGGTCCTGTCCGCCTCCGTCTCCAGCCTGGCTCACACTCTTGATGGGAACGGGGTTTGCAGGCGGCTGGGAGCGGCCCCCCATCTCACCTCTCTCCTGAGGGCCTGGCCCTGCGGTGCCTCCGAGAACCTCTGGTGCAGCTGCTGCTCCTTCTCCAGCCGCAGCGCCTCCTGCAGGACCAGCACGCTGGCGCGCCTCTGCGCCTCCGCCAGCCCCAGCTCTGCCACCTGCTGCTCGCGCCTCCAGGTGGCTCTGTCCACGCCCTGGGCCAGCGGCAGGGGCTGGGGCGGCGCGCACACCTCTAGGTGGGTGACGGAAAGGTGGACGTCCTGGTCCTGGCCCAAGACATACTGGTAGAGCCTGTAGTGGCGGATGAAGGTGTTGTGGCAGTAATCGCAGAGCGCCCGCAGGTGCTTGGTGCTGAAGCGCCCCTGGTAATCGCGGAGCTTGCTCGCCAGGACTGTCATGGCCTCGGTGATGGAGCAACCTGTGGGCAGAGAGCGGCCGGGCGTCAAGGGCAAGCAGGCCAAAGCTGCACCGAGAGCTGGTCCATTCAGGCCCCGAGCCCCTGTGCGGCTGGTTATTCCGTGACCATTTGTTCCCTTGCAAGTCCTGTCGCGTCACATTTCCGTTGTTAGCTCGGCTTCTAGGAAGCTCAGAGCTAGTTTCGTGAAATGACTTATTTATTTATCTTATATCTTATATATTTTTATCTTATATCTTCCTATATATTTATTCCACTCCTTACCTATATTTTGTTTTTTAACTTTTTTGGGGAAGATTCATTTATTTATGCATGCAAGAGCTGGGGTACAGGCCAGAGGTGGAGGGGGTGAGAGGATCCACCAGAGACAGAGTGGGGAACAGAACAGGCGGATCCACTGAAATCCAGGCAGGACAGGTCTGCTGTGCCATGTGGGTAGCTCCCTGGCAGGCTGGGGATCGAACTTGTGCTGCAGTGGCTGGTGACAGCTTCATAGCACTGTCTTTAACCCCTGCGCCACCACGAAGACCCCTTTGAACTCTTGGTTGAAAGACTGACTTTAGCTGTTTTATATCGTTTCCACTTCAAACCCTTTAGCCCTCTGATGCAGCAGAGCCGAGATGTTGGGGGGGCACCGTCCGGGCAGCTGTTAGGTTGTGGTGTCGCAGAGTGGGGCAGATGCTGCTTCTATCACTTGATGGCTCAGCTCTGAGAGCTGCACCATGGGTGCGTGAGCCCCCTTCTCCCTGCCCCTCTCCAGATGGCGCTAGGGTAGAGATGAGGCTGGGGAGACAGGGCTCCCCCGGGATATGACTGGGTCTTAACACGGGGCGCCTCCCGTGTGCCCGCCCTGCTGAGGGACATCAGGCAGAGAGAGGCCAAGACAAGGGCAGAGAAAGAAACTGCCAGGCCCCAGACCTAGCCCTGATCCAGATGCCACCCTGAAGGGCGCTGTAAACGCAGCCGAGCCCCCCAGGCCCCTGACCCAGGCTCCACCTCCGCTCGGTGGTGACCAGGAGTCACGCGCTCCGGGGAGCCCAGGGTCCTCTCCGCTGCAGAGGGAGACCAGGTGTTGGCAGTGGGGAGCCGGCTTTCCCTGCGGGCAGAGGCCCTCCAGCGCCCGTGCGTGGGTCCGCCAGGGAGCCTGGTAGCACCCCACTCCCCAGCCAGGGTGCTCCATGCTCCGTTGGGGGAGGCTGTTTCTCTCTCGTCTACGTCGTCATTTTTAGCGCCCCCCCACCTCCTGTGTTCACGTTACTCCTTGCTCTTGGCCGTGCGCGGGGATGTTCACCTTCATCTCCCCCAGGTGCTGAGAGGGTGCGGGTCTTGGCCTTAGCGAAAGATCAGCAGGCCGTGCCCTGCTCCGCTGGGAGTGCGTCGCAGGCCGCGGGTGTCCCTGGATTTGGGCCCAGCATCCCGGGGGAGGGAGGAAGCCAGCGCAGGGTGTGGAATTAAAGGCCGCGTGTCCCCTGGGTGCGGGACAGACAGTGGCCTGAGGGAGCTCTCCAGCCCAGGCGGCGCAGGGCGGGCTCTGGGCTTGGAGGCGTGAGCCAGCTCTAGCCCTTCCTGCCACAGCTTCATCCCCTTAAGTGCCGAGCACGGGAGAATAAAGCTTCCTTTCCAGGATTGCCGCGAGGTCAGCTGGGATGACGTGACCCGTCCAAGCGCAAGTGCAGGGTGCGCGGCAGGCGGCCACCGGGAGATACCGTAGGAGGAGGTTGGTTTCTGCCCTGTGAGAAGTCGCTCTTGTCGCACCTGTCCTTCCTTCCAGCTCTCCACGATCCATGCACACACGCGTCCCTTTCTCCTTTCTGGTCCACCTTCCCTTCCTTCCACCCAGCTGTCCGTCCATCCACCCGTCCATCCAAGCCCCCGTCTCTCTTGTCCCCGCTACCCACCCATCCGTCCACCCTCTCTCCCCCTCCCTCCCTCCCTCCCTCCCTCCTCCTCCATCCACCCACCCACCCATGCATCATCATCATCATCCATCCATCCATCCATCCATCCATCCTCCGTCCATCCATCCAAGATTAATTTGTCCAGCTGTTACTAGGCGCCTATTCATTGCTACACTGTTTGGTCCTGGCAATGCTGTGAGCGGCATCCCTGCCCTCCGAGCACCCCCGGAGAAGCACGCGCGTAGATGTCATGACTTACGTGTAAAGAACAGAGTCAGAAGAAGAGGAATGTTCAGTCGAGGACTGACGGAGGATGGAACAGGAGCCGGGCCTTAGAGGCTGGCGGAACTGAAATAGCAGAGGGCGGGAGAGCCCTTGGGGGGGACAGCCCGAGTAGGGCAGAGGGCAAGGAGCAGGATGGGGACAGTCAGGGCCCCTGAGCGCACCCCTGGACCTGCGCTCTTGGCACCTACGAGAGGCGACAGACAGTGGCAAGGGCTGAGTGGAAAGGTGGGCGGCAGACAGATGGAGGCCCTGCAGGCGGGCGGTGCCAGCCACGCTTGCCTTGGACTGGCTGGCACAGGTGGTCATGTGGAGGCCGGCGGGAACCCGAGGCCCGTGAGGACATGCAGTGTGTGGTCAGAGACAGGGACATGCATAGCGCTGGGGCTTGATAGGCGTGGGTGACGGAGAAGTGATATCCGCAGCCCCACTCCTGGGTTGCCAAGGGCTGGCACCCGGACAGCACCACCACCCCGTGCTTGCCAACAGATGGCTGGACTGAGAGAATGTGGGGCACGGGTCGTGAGCTGCTAAACGATGTTTCGGTTAAGGAAAGGGCGCACCGACCACGGGCCTCTGCAGCCCAGGGTGTGGTCATTACCCGCATGGTGGGCGAACAGTGACGAAATCACAGAACGACACATTTCTCAGAGCAGGTCCTTGTCATCCAGAACCGACCAGACAGTGGAATACTATGCAGGCGACCCGTCGTGGGTGACCTGGACGGCCGGCGGCCAGGAGGCTGCCAGAGTGGGCGCGGCACAGAGGGCAGGTGCCTGTGCGGGCCCCCGGGTGTGTCTACAAAGGGGAGACTTCTAGAAGCAGGGGTGATGGGGTGAGGGCAGATGCTGACCAGGCACCCCTGGCCCGAGTCGTGCGGGATCAGTGCGTTCCGGGCACCTGCTGCCCAGCGCCACAGCCTGGCGGCGCCAGTTTCCTGGGCTTGGCGCCTGCTGAGCGGGCAGTTCCTGGCCGCTCTCGCTGTCGCACAAAGGCGGCGGCGTGACGCAGGGCCAGCTCTGCACGCACACCCCGGAACACGGGGCTCGTCGTAAACACCCAAGTGTCACTGACACCGCAACAAACCGAGGAAAACCACGACTGAACATGAGACGTCTGAGGGCCGCGGGTCAGGGGCTGCTCCGCGGCGAGGTGAGCAGCGCCCTCCCCGCTTCTCACCTCACTGACACACCTGCTCACCTGCCAGCCCTGGGCCACCGGGCCAGCGACCTCGCCTGCCTCATGGCTGGGGCCGACACCACGGCCCCGCCCGGGCCTGTGTCCCCGACGGAGCAGAGATGCGAAGCTGCTGGAGCTGAAGCTGCAGCCGTGACCCAGGGCCGAGCCAGGCAAAGGCCCGCCGGCAGGGACAGGGTCCAGCCCTCCGCGGGGTCGCCTGCCCTCGGGACCTCACTCTGACCCTGTGCCGGGGCCTCCCTGCGGGGCGGGCTCGTGCTGCCGGGACCCGCGGCGGGCGCGCTGCGCCTCTTCCTTTCTGCTTGTGGCCACAAGCCACCCGGAACCTTTGGTCTCTGCGGCTTCTTAGTTGCCCACGTGCAGCGCGGGACGCATGAGGGGCGCTGTGTCCTCTGAAGCCGTGCGAGCCTGTGCGAGGTGTTGGGGAGACCGGCTGGCAATGCGGGGAGTTATGGGGGTGCAGGCCTGCGGGGGCACAGGGAGGCACCCTGATCCAAGATGTGGGGGGTTGGGCGGGAGCCAGGGGAGGTTTCTCAGAGTCGCTGGAGGCCAGGGTGGAAAGACGAGGGGTTTGTTGGAAGATTGGGCGAGGGCGGGGGAGGGGCACCCCGGTCGAGGGGCCTGGGGGTACAGGGCCCGAGCGGGTGGGGCCCGAGACCTTCGGTTTGCAAAGCGCGTGCCTTGTGTGCAGCTGGGCCCCTTGCGGAAGCTCCTTAACCAGAGTTCCTGGAACCCAGGGGTGGCCCAGGCTGGAGCCCCAGACCGACACCCACAGTTTTGCATGAACCCTTTTTCTGGAGAGAGTGTGGGTAGAGGATCACAGATTCCTAAAACGTCAGTTAAGAACCGAGCAGAGCTGCAGGGCCGCGGGAGGTGCTAGGCTGGGAGGCGAGGGATCAGCAGGGATCTCAGCGGGAGGGGACGGCCTGGACAGGACGGCCAGGGCCTCCGGGAGGGAGCGGGATGAGGTCATCGGGCCTGGCTCTCCAGGTGGCACCCCAGGCCTGCGTGGAGGCGACTGAGTGAGCGTGATGAGGTGAGTCAGCACCCCTCGGGGCGTGCAGGAAGGTGGCCTGTCCCTCCTCCAGCCTGGTTCAGAGCTCTCAGGGGCCGGGCCGCTGCCCCTCAGACATGGGTGGCCAGGACTGCTGTTGAGCACCGCTGGCCCCTGGCCTTCTGCACTTGACCCCGCTGCTCTGGGCAAGGCCAGGCTTGACCTCAGAAGTCCGGTGGTTGTGCCAAGCACCCCAGCCAAGCGGCTGCCCTGCTTGGGCCTGAGCTTTGGTCCTGTCCTGGGGGCTGTGCAGCCCCGGGGTGGGCCTGGCTGGGCCGAATTCTGACTTCTGGCTCCCAGGCTCTCTTCCATCCACTCCTGGTTTCCAGCCAAGTTCTTCCCAAGTGGGCACACGAGGCCCCCCTTCTTGGACCCCAGGCCGCTCTCCATTTGCCAAAGGTTGAGAAGACAGGGTGACTCAGAAAGAGGATTAAGTCTCAGGGAGAAGCCTCTGGCTGCGGGGCGGACAGATCCCTACCTGCTCCTGCTGCTCTTCAATAACAGGGAGTGGCCCTCATTTGCATTGGCTGCTGGAAACTTCCTGAAGCTGGTCCCCAAACCCTGGAGGCCAG